TCCGCATGTGCATGGACTACACAGATCTGAATAAGGCATGCCCTATGGATCCTTTCCCTTTACCCAACATTGACCAGCTGGTGGACGAAACAACGGGATGTGAAATCATGTCTTTCCTCGACGCCTTTCGAGGATATCACCAGATATATATATGCATGAGGGGACATGAACATCTGGCTGAGTGGCTGCAGAGGGGGAAGGCCATAGGGAGCCGGATCAAAGTCTTTAGGGTCCACGCTGAAATGCGAGGCTAGCTTTTGGTAGAGCATGGCTTGAGTAAAAAACTCACCTCCTTCATAATAGCCTTTGCCCTTCCGGGAAAGTCACATGGCACCGGGGCCTCCAACCCATGCATCCATCGATTGCTCCACCACTGAAGCCAGCCACGTCTTCCGCTCTTCGACTTTCCATCCCTCAGCTGCGAAGGCATCTACGGCGTCCGTCTCGGCCTTGGCGACCACCTCCTTCCTAACAGTTTCAGCGGCCTCGACGGCGGTCTTGGCAGCAACAACAACTACCTCTTCGGCCTCAGCCTTGCCCTCGGCCCTAGCCTCCTTTCTGGCGGCCTCCAACTTCTGGTCCATCCCCTCAGTAGCCAGCCAGAGGGTTTCTTCCATCTCGGCCATCTTCTTCCGGAAGATGGTGTTCTCTTCAACAACTTTCTTCAAAGCCTCGCCGGCCTGCATCTTCCTCATGCGCAGCTGTTCCACCCTCCAGACTTGCTCCCCGAGGGCCACGCTAGCCTGCAAACGGATAGGAAAGCACTAAGAGTCAGAATACAATACAGGAAGGAAAGACTAAGGAAAATTAAACTAAGGGGAAGGGAAGCTCTCAGCACTTACAGTGATAGAGGCCTGGATGATCTTTCGGTCGATGGCATCATTATCATACCTCGACAGCACCAGCCTGTCCTTCGAAGGGGTCGCCGCCCTGATGAACTCTGTGGCGTCGAGGGTGCCATGCATAATGGCAGTCCCCTTTTTGGTGGAGAACTGCACATCCTCCCGGGGCCATGTGCTATCCGGAGCCGGGGGGAACGAGGAGTTGTCACCCAGGCGACGTGCGGCTCGGGGGAAGAGGACTGTTCCTCCGAGATGAAGACGGGGGCATCTTTCTTCTGGCCGTCGGAGCCCTTCTTTTGCTTCTTTTCCGGGGGCACCACGCCTTTCCCGACTCTTCCTTTTGAGCTCCTCGGCTTGGGAGCCTCCGGCATCAGTACCGGCAACAACACCTATGGCTGCATCAGTTTGTTTCGAGGGCTTCTCACTCCCCTGAACATTGCCGGCGTTGGCCTTTTTGAAGAACTCGTCCACAGGCTTCTGCCGGGACGGGCCCTATTTCTTCTTGGGCTCCTTGGCCGATTGCTTCTTCAGTTTAGCGAAGGTCTTAGCATCCATGGCTTCACCTGCAAAAACAAGAAAGTATTAAGATCATGACAAAAGAAAAGAAAATGCTAAGTACACAAATAGGAAGCCCTCGGTAAGCACCTTCGGCACTCTCGTAAACGCGATCAATTGGAGGGTATTTCTCTCCCACCACCCGGTACCTCCGGAAGCTTAATAAGTACAGTTCATCCGGAAGGGTGGCATCTTTAATTGTCTCCAACTTGTCGAACCCCTCCGGTTTCTCAGCAAGTTTTCTCCCCTTCTTCTCAAGAGCAGCGGTCCCAACCTTCGGGTGCCTCCGGAAGTTATCACGGAGAGGAGTAGGGAAGGGGTTCTCCGCCAAGCGGATGTAACAAAACTTATCCTTCCACCCTTTGTGGGAGGAAGGCACCTCAGACAATAATCTCCACTCCGGAACCTGCTGCAGATTGGCGAAACCCCCGACGTTGGAGTGACCCCCTCGGCAAAGATTGAATGAGAGAAAAAATTGATCCAAGGTGGGCTCTACCCCCCTGCTCCGGCAAAAGGGAGAGAAAACCGACCAAGTAAGAATGATTGTTCAGGGTCAACTGACAGGAAGCGAGTTTCACAAAACGGAGATATTAGAGCACGAAGGGATGGAGAGGGAACCGGAGGCCCAACTCCACAGATAGGATATGGACCGCGAAGCAGCCCTTAGTAGCGCGCAACAGAACGTCGTCCGATCCCGGCTCCAGCACACGTGCCGAGGGCCCTACTAAGAATTGCACATCTTGGTAGTCAGCATCTGCTGCCTTCGTCTTTACCTCCAGGGTAGCAGTGTTCAAGTAAGAATGACCCTCAGGAATGCCGACGGGTTGCCCAGCGTCAGCAGCAGCCGACTTCTTCTTTGGGGCTGCCCTAATCTTCTTCTTTTTCTTACCTGGAGCAACCCTAAGAGGTTCCGGGTTGAGGGGCCGAGAGATTCCGGCTTCATCATCATTGTAGGGGGCGGAACGGCAACGGTAACCTTCATCCGCTCTTTTTCCTCCTCCTCCTCAGCGACTTGAACGACGAGGGTCAGCTCTTCGTCCTCGGCCACTTGCTCAAACTCTTCAACCTCCGCTTCAATCCGGAGGTTATCTTGAACCTCCTCGGCCATGGCAGAATCATCATGTGTCGAGGGTTGCTCGCTTGAAGACTGCACATCCGAGTAGATCTCGGATTGGACTATAGGCTCCCCAGAAATGTTTTGAGAATCACTCGCTGAGGACATCCTTCGGTGTGATGGCGGAAGGAATTGGGAAGAATGGGTTTCTAAAGGCTCTAAGGCTCTAACACAAGATCTAAGGGAAGAAAATCAAAATATGCTAAGGAAGCGAAGAACAGGATAAGAACTGGCCTCAAATACTTGGGTTTGATTGAAGGCAAAGTATTCTCTCCCTAAAAAATTTGGCAGAGCTTCACTATAGCTTGGAATCGCACAAGGCAAATGGTTCTAGCCTTGGGGTATTTATAGGCGCCCCCAACCACGGTTAAGCCTCGAAACTGGGCCTTGGGTTAGAAGCCCATCATAACCAACCGTCGCCTAAGTTAATGGGTGGCATGCCACGTTAAGGTTTTAGCCAACAGGAGCATGCCACGTGGACCCCACCTCCAACGGCTCTATTCCAACGGTTGTATCCTGACAACAACGAGGAGGCCTCGGTTGACACCTTTCGAGTAACAACTATGCGAGCCTCCGGGTGATCACATATTATCACACCCTTCATCTAGATATGCCCTCGGGACAATGCAACACATAATAACTCCTTCATCTCGAACTTGCCTTCGGCCTAAAGGAGGGGAGGACTGGGATACACCCCTCGAGAAAACACTACACAAAAGTTCACACATACAAAATACACACACACACACACACACACACACACACACACAATGGACAAGTGTAGCCTCCGGGAGAACAACGATAAACATGACCCCTCGGGTATATGTTATCGACACACCCCTCGGGAGATACGTGAAAATATAAAAGTTCTCACAAATTGTCGACAAATGTGTCAATGGTGACAAAGCAGCCTTCACCACAACACATACAGACAACTCATTGGCACTCCTCCTCAGAAAACCCTCAGCCCTCAACATATGGGGGAATGAGGGCCTGCTCTCGGCAAACACCAGAGAGTAAGTCATCAGTGGAAGGAATCTCCCACAAACAAAAGCGCCTTTGACAGAACAACCACAGTTACGTTACTCCTTTTCCCTCAAGTACCTTTCGGCAAAAGGAGTGGGGGACTCCTGATGGAGTATATGGCCCAGGGACCCCCGGCCCACAGACTCCTACTTCCTCTACACAGGCCCAATAGGCCCAGGTAGCACATAAGGTCTGAATGCGATGGACCGAGCATGAAGAAGCCCATGGAGCACATGAGGGTGCCTTCGGCCTTATGGCCGAGGGCTCCGAACACCAGAACACAACTGGTTTTAAGCATACGAGGTTACTGGGAGAAAATACCAGAAAACAGGAGCCTTCGGCTACGGGGTGCCCCCGACACATGTGTAGCCTTCGGCCACACAGAGCCTTCGACCACAGGATAGGTCTTCAGCTACAGAACACTCATCAAAGATTCCTTCTAGAGACAAACAACCACCGCATTCAATGCGGCGGTCACGTCCAACCACCGCATTTAATGCGGTGCACATGCAAATGCCGGTGCCACCCCGATTGAGGTGACCCTCGACCGTCAAATGTTTGACACGTGTACGCGCTTAGCATTTATGGCTAGTATAAATAGCAACCCCTTTCTCTTTGTAAAGGCATCCCAATATCTCAAATTCATTTAACACATTCATCTCTCTCTCTCTCTCTCTCTCTCTCTTACTTCCTTGCTCTGACTTCTCTCTAGTTATTTCGCACAATAACCCTCGGACAAGCTACCCCGGGTACACTATCCATCAGCAACCTAAGCAATAATTTGGTAAAAAATGAGTGCTCAGTAAGAAAAGGAAAACAAATGAGAAGTTGTGATGAAATTCGAAAGGGCTCCAAAGTCAAAATGAGATAAATGTGAGAAAAAAAATAAATTTTGGAGAAATTCATCTAACGTGGGAGCATTTAGAGGATATCATTTGACTTGGACTGAAGAATTTGAAGACTTCATTTTGTGTATTGAGATGAAACTGATAAAAGGACATTGTTGTTTTTCTTTTATTTTGTTTACATTTGATAAATTGAAGTCTTTTGTGGATTTTACTCGAGAACACGTACAAGACTAAGCATGGTGAAGTTATGACTCATGGTAGTCTGTAGTCACAATACTTTCTATTTCTTACCTTTATTTTATCATTAAAAAAATAAATATAAAAAGAAGAAAGGCCAAGTTAGGTTGAAACTCGAAAAGACAATCTAAGCAACAATTCGATAAAAAATAATGACTTAAATATGTTTGTAGTCCTTGTACTTTGTTTCAAATCTAAATCAAAACAATGATTTTCTTATCAATAAATAAATGTAATCCAATATAAATAATAGAAAGATGGTAGAATAAGAAGAAATGACACAAATTATTCATATTTTGGGAATAATAAAAAATTGTAGTACTATTATTGCATAAAGCTATTTTTAGTCGGGGGTTAATTGTGTCCGTACTGAACAATTCAGCACTTTTCCCGTTTAACTCAAATCTTTTCGTCACTTGAAACTTTGCGGCAAAATGGAGCTTGTCAAGTTATCACAATTCAAGATCCAGCTTCATGCCCTAATTTCCGAGTTTCGCGATCTGAAAGTAAAGTACTTCTTGAACCCAAATTTTCGTATTCCCGAAATCCTCATTTTGTTAGCATTTAAACTTTCGTAGGTAAGAGAACGCCATGCTTCTGAGCAGCTCCAGCTTATGATCCAGGTGGCTCATCTATATCACACTAACTATCTCCTTATAACATTTATCAGTGTAAGTGTGTTGAAGCTTGCCTGTGACAGAATCAAAAGCTAGCCGAGGAAGAATTCAACGGGAAATTGGCTGCAGTAAACGCGGAACTGTATTTGTCGAATGAGCTAAGTCAGAAGCTAGACAGAAAGGTGATTGACTAGTACATGTTTGTCGAAACGTTTCTTTCAATTCAGAGCACGTTACTGCAGTTTAATAGCACAGCATTATCGAAATAATATGAACGTAAGTTGATGATTTCGTGTCATCTCAATCTTTTACTTTTTCTATTTCAAACCATGGCAGCTGAGATGGCTACAAAATGACAATGATATGCTTGAGAGCCAGCTGAAAGAGATGAAGGGAACCATAAACAGCATTCTTGAATCCAGAGACAGTTTCATTAAGGCTTATGAGGTACCTCTGTTTGACTTTTCCCCCATTTAAATCCTTTGGTTGAGAAATTTTATCCAGTTCATCATCTTAATTTGACTCGTTTGAGCTTTCCTGTTCTTCAGTTTCTGCCACTTTAAGTTTGCAGGGTTCTACTTGTGAAATGCAACGGGCTATTGAATCCAGAGATAGAAAAATTGATATCCTTTCCGAAAAGATAAAAGCTCACTCCATGTGGTTTGCTTCAATTGAAAAGGAGGCTTCCTCCATCAGGCAAATAGTCGATGATGCACATAGTGTTCTGATTGCAAGAGAGGAAGTAGGCATGTACACTTTTTGGGCATTGAAGGAAAGTTATTAGATGGATAAGGTCTATATGAGGGGCTGTAGATCATACCAGCAAAAAATGAGTAGTAAGGTTGGGGACTCAGGTCAAAGATTATAATGTCTAACCGGCCTTTTCCGACTTATAGAAAAAACGGAAAATAAGACAATGAAAACACTTATTGATGGATAATTTAAATTGATATGTATTGTTTTTATCGCCATACTCTCTAGCCCCACATATAGACCCATTCAATCCAAACATTTTTCATTGTTGATTATTTTGTTTTCATTCCATTTTGTTTCTTCTCCCCTCCGAATTTCTCTTGGTTTTCCAGTTGTTGAGTTAAGGAGTAAAGTTGATGAGGTTTCAACACTTGAGACACTGTTTCTAGGTACTTTTCCACCACTATATAATTGTTGAATCCAGGTCACATTCTTAGGTCATCGTCCAATAAAACTATTTGTTTATTTAGGTTAACAGTTTGTTATGATTGTCATCAATACTTCAATGTAACAAATGCATGGTTTTTTTTTGCACTGCATATGATTTTTTTATGCCTATCATGTATATTTCTTTTTTAGGAAGGATAAATAACCTGGAAAGAGAATTGAGGAACAAGGAACTCGAGGTTAGGAAAAGGGACAAAACTATTCTGAATCTGGAGTGGCAACTTGAGGCAGCAAATCTAAAAAGGGACTTCCAACCAAAGATTGAGGAGATATCCATACAAGCAGACCTTCATATTAATATGTCATATCTGAATGATGAACTTTTCTTATGCCCCTTCAAACGATGAGAATTCTTTTATCTTAACTAAGCATACCTTCAGCAAGATCTGTCAGTGAAGGAACTAATTATTCAGAACTTAGTGTCACAGAACAAGGTCTCAGCATTTCGCCATTTCGTGCCCTGTTTGTTTTTCATTTTGTCACTTTTATTGACTAATGGATACTTCTTGATACATATACTTGATTGTCAGGAGTTACACTTTGAAGTAGCCGCTTTAGGTGTGCTCATGAAGAAGATACAGGATGGTCTCTCAAGTATGAGTGAAGGGGTTAGATGTTTATTTTGTTGAAAAAAACTCCATCTGGTGCATGAAGTGCTTGTGTCATACTAGTATAACACTTCATGTTCATTTTGTTTAATCAATTTAAAAGTGTTTTTCAAATTATCCCAGGACAGAAAGATTTTCACTTCTGTGTTTGAACATCAAGAGAATGTTACTATTGGAAAGGAAGAGGAAGCTTTAAGGTATATTCCCTTTTGTCCCCAAAATAGTCATACTTATAATACCTTTTATTTTCCATCATTTGCAATGGAGCCAAAGACTCACTATTTTTGGCTTGGAAATATGATGGAATAAAACAAAATGACTCACTAAATTGCTTCTTTATTATGAAGCAGCAGTCAGTTCATGCAATTTTCGACCCGATTTTCACTATGGGTCATTTGGAAACAGTCTCTCAGTGCTTTAGTACAGCGGTAAGACTGTGTACATCCGACCCTCCATTACCCCACCGTAGGTGGGAGACTTTGCGGCACTGGGGTAATGATGATGATGATTATAATACCTTTTTTAGTATTTCAAAGATTACTCTTTTTGTGACGGAGTTAGTACATACTTCCATGCTTTTGTATGAGCTCATGTCTTAATAGTTGACATTCTAATCTATTCAAGAAAAAATGTTGTTAGCTAGAACTTAATTTTGAATGTGAACTCTTTGAATGAGAATGTTCTCTCAGCAAAGGAAAGATAGCTTATATGGGTGTGCATTTATCAGATCAAACTAATGAATAGTTGAATTTATCTTGCATTATTTTTTATCTATTACTAGTGGATAGACATGTTGAATATTTTTAGTATCCGTTTTCAATTTAGTAATATTCAAGGCCTGAGGGAGAAAGGTGAAGCTCAAAATGAAAAAGGAAACATTCAAGACAAGTCTTTGGTCACAGAGGAAACCACGAGTAAGTCCTTTCATTCAACTTTTGCTTTCTCATCAATCTACGACTACATCTGCCTTATTTAGATAGAAACTCATTTTATCACTAACATTTCATGGCATCTTTAGCTAGCTGGCTTGCATAAATTCATATATGTATCTGTGTCACTGCGTGGTGGCGGTGTATAACTTCCCAGTCTTTCCTTAACAGTTCCTTTATCATTTCTTGGCATGCATTAGGATATGTTTGGATCCTGAAAACTGCTGTCGGGAGTATAAAAAAGTGTCTCAGAAAAGTAATTTTCTTATGTTCGATTTACTTGGAGAAATGAAAAGTAAAATGGAATATGATTATTTCTTAGCTTCTTTAAACATATAATTAGATATCTTAGGTTTTACATAATAGACATAAATAATACAATCAGCGGTTTGCTACATTTTGTAAAGCAGCTCTGCCTGAATTTGAAGATGGTAAGAACTCATTGAAGAAGGTTGGGGAACTCGATTCCTTTGCATCTGAGGCAAGTTTATAGCGGTAGTTTTTTTAAAAGGAGAAAACAAAAATCGTATTAGTTCCTGCAAATGATTTGAAAATATTTCACTCTTGGTCTTCTGATTGCTTGGTCATTTCATTTTTTGTTCCCTGTTCCCGACTACTGTATAATTTTTCCATTTGTGGTGCACTGCTTCTAATTCTGGTCACTTTCAGTCATTGTGATTACTTATCCGGGAAAAACAAATTACCTGTAAGGAAGTTGTCCATACAAGTGACCAAAAGGAGCAAACGTAGAATGAATCCATTTTCACTGCACCAAAGATGGAAAAAGTGATGGAAAAAGTGAAGCCAGTGACCATAAGTGATAACAGTCTAATTAGTTCACCTAAAATGGAATATTTTTAACTAAATTATTATGTCAAAAACATTGCAGTCTGTTGGCTCTTCTTCTTCTGAATCAGCAAACCAGGAGCTGCTGAAAATCCATTAAACTCGCCAAGAGGTTATATGTGGATTTCCACACCACAGTAGGCAGGCCTGTCATCTAAACATGCTGTGCTGATAAATAGCGAAGATAACAGAAGCTTCGTCCGACATGGAGATTTTATAGGTGCAAGCGGGTTGATGATAATTATTATTGTTGTTGTTATTATTATTATTATTATTATTACTATTATTATTATTATTATTATTATTATTATTATTATTATTATTATTATTATTTATGTTATTATTTTTCATTCTATTGTTATGAATACATTTCGGGAGAAGGGTCAAAAATGACATTAACGTTTTTAATGAATCTCGAATTGGACATCAAACTTTTAAATAGACCAAATAAACACACATTCAACCTTATTCCGTGCTTTTCAGCCACCCGCTAACCTTTCCGTTAAATAGGCGTTAAAAAGTTACTCATTCTAGTTTGAAGTTATTACTCCGTATTAAAGGAAAGGAAAAGTCTTGATTCCCTCTTACAATACCATCCGAATTACTCCCGTTATCTACCCAACAGGATTTTCAATTGTTTTTCTATCCTCCTTCACACCGCCCTTCTCCTTTCCAATTTTCCATGCCACAAGGTCGATTTCTCTGTGCTTATCACTTATACTCTGCTGCTCCTGTCTGACATGGCTGAGTCAAACTAGACTTTGAGTTCCCCTGCCCATTCTTTTCCACGCATAGAGAGAGCTCTGGTACTCTGGTAGGAGGGAACTCATACTCTACATAAGGGTTTCATTAATGACTAACCAAAGTGTGTTCAGTTAATCACCCATGAGCAGACTCACAATGGATTGCGGAAGCATAGCACCAAGTTATGTCTTAAACAATTTCAAGAGGTTGTTTTGTATAGAATCCCACTTGAAACTCTCAATTCAAGACAACTTTCTGAGTCATCTTCTTAGAAAATCCAAGTCTAAATACAAAATACATTAAACATTCCAAGAATTTTTCACATAGATTTATGGATGGCCATGATTTAGGGTCTGATCTCTTCCTCCAAGTCTCCAACTTTCTCTATAGATAACTGATAACCTAAGCCATGATTTCTTAAGCTTTGAAGAACCTAAGCCCTCCCTTCCTCCTGAACTGGGATTAGGACTTTGGGGTGTGAAATCTTTGACGTTAGCGAGCTTGTCCTTATCCTTGAAGCTAGCGGTTAGATTGGATGTCGGAGACGATTTACTGGGAGAGTCGTTGTTCTTGGATGCAGAACCAGAGTTTGTGATGGTCCCGGATAGAGGTAAAAGTCTAGAGGGGGGGGTGAATAGACTTTTAAAATCTTTTTCAACTTTGTGAAGTTTTCCCTCTAGATGAGTTGATCTATAATCTTTTAAGAGATTAATAGATGCACAGCGGAAGTCTTTAACCTCTTTATACTTGGTGTGAGACAACTTTCTAGTTTAGATGATGTTTAGACTGGTGATAAGAGGAAGTAGGCTTGGCAGTAGACTGGTGAGCAGATAACTGCTTAGTCTACTGCTGCACAGGCAGTTTGCTGACTGGCAGGCAACTGCTGAGTTGGCAGTCGACTGGTGGGCAGGTTACTGCTGAGGCAACTGTTAAGAACAGGATGACTTTTGGATGGCTTTTTGTTCTGGCTTGTTATGGCGTTCGGAAAGACACATATAAATGGGCAGTGGGCTCAGCAGGAGGGTGAAGACCAGGGTACTGCTGAGGCACCTTCTGAGTGTAAGATAACTTCTAGTGGAAAATACTCTCAAGGAGAGTGAGCTATTAAGCAGTAGGCTAAGCAGTACAGTCGATGAAGACTACTGCTTAGGATGCTGCTGGCAAACTACAATCCTTTAGTGAGATGTGTTTGGTGTGTGCTTCTGTATGTATGAAAGTAAATCAACACACGATATATCCTGGTTCAGAGGTGGTGTAATCCTCCTACATCCAGTCCCACCCTATTTCAGATGGATTTCCACTAAAGTATTCAGCCCAATACAATTAGTGCCAATCTAGCCTTGACAACTCTGGCCTAGATTGAAGGTTTTTCACGATGAGTATAACACCACTCAAAGTTACTCAGTCCTTAGACTTTTCTCAATTGATCCAGTGGGGATCAAAAGGTACTCTATCTATCTAACCACACTATAGGATCCGAACAACTGTTCTCCTAAGTGTTTACAACAACATGAATTGATTCACGTAGTGTCTAACCGCCAACTAAAACCTAAGCTCTATAAATGTTACAATGAATGATCTAGTCTAAGAGCTTAGTGAAGCATGAGTCAAAGCAGTGTTCAAGCACTTTTTCCTTTGCTGGATATGCGTAGTGTAATGACTGAACCACTTGCTTTGAACTCAATGACTTACCTTTGATCTCATGCTTCTGCCTATTTTTATAGGCATCTCCGGTAGATTAATCTCCTCCGTTGGTTAAGAGGATTTAATCCTAGACGTCCAAAGTATTGTACTTGCGTCTTCTTGTGTTGGAGCAGGATAAGGATTTGTCTTTTGAAGACCACTTGCTTTGTACGAAGATAACACCCATACCTTAGGCCTTCTTATCGCTGCATGCCTATTCTGAAACTCTTCACTATTCACCTAATCAGATGTCTTCTCTCCTCTTGCGTTCTGAGTGTATTGGCCTTGTCTTGCAACTACACTTGTAAAGCTGAGTGCGTGAACCTGCTCAATTTTGTGTAGTGAAGTAGTAAAATGTGTGACTTAGAATATTTTGTATCAAATAAGTTTTGTACTGGTAGGATCTTTGAAATATCCCATTAAGGTAATAAGATTACCTTATTGCATTTTGTTCTTTCCAGTACAATTTATTTGGTGCAAATTTCACAGTAAAATTTGTCACTTATTTTACTAATCACTTTCTTTCTTTAAGTGACATGATTAAACTTATATACCAAATTAAAGCTATACTGGTTGGATCTAAATATCCATGTAAGGTAAATAATTTTTACCTTATTGCATTTTATAGTTCCAGTATGTTTAATCTGATACACAGTTTGTACATTGGAATTCTTGTCACTTTTAAGTACTTGTGTAGTTTAGCAGGTACTGTGGACAACTTAACTGGTAGGATAACAAATCCTATTAAGGTAAAAGTTATTACCTTATTGCATTTTGTGTTCCAGTTAGTTTGTTCATTATTCTTGTTCACATTGATTTATATATCAAATAACACTTTACTGGTTGGATTTAAATATCCAATTTCAAGATAAAGACAACTTTACCTTTTTTTTATTTTGAATCCCAGTGTGTTCTTTTTGTTATATAGAATCTACATTGTTATTTGTTGTAGTGAACAGAATATCAAGAACTCTTCTTCTGAGTGTATGGTTTATCTAGTATTTCGAACATGATAAGCTAAATATTTAACTGGTAGGATATCAACTCCTATTAAGGTAAAATTACCTTATTGCATTTTGTTTTCCAGTTAAAATAAATAGTTTATTTGTACGAGATGTTATTGTGTGTAACAAATAAATTTAACTGGTTGGATTTATATGATATCCTTTTAAGGCAATACAATATTGCCTTATTGCATTTTATGGTTTTCCAGTCATATTTATTTGTTAACTGTATAAAAGGAGCACGAAACATCTAGATAATTTTCTTAGTACTAGACAACTGCAAGGTGCTACAACAGAGGATAACAAAGACTCTTATAATAATGCTACAATAGAGGGGGGATAACAAAAGCTTTTGGCATCATCAAAACAGTTCAACAAAATCTGGGGTCTAACAGTTTGCCTTTTTTTTTTATCAGTTTGGATCGGAAAATTCAGCTCAATGAAGCACGGGCTATTGGTGGATCCATCTATACTGCAAGCATCATGTTTCCTGGAAGAGAAAGTTCGATCTTTGAACATCATCCTCCGTCAGTGGGTCTGTTAGGTTTTTGAAACACAGCAGGCGGAGATGACGACAGACTAGGAGAAGTGAGAAGACATCACACATTTAACTTCTGATGTTTCCTTAGTTTTAAGTTGTCGTGTTTGTTTAGGTGAAACACCGTTTAACCAAAATGTTAGTGGGTGGCTGAAAACAATGAATAAGTTGGAATTTGGGTTAATTTGCTCCACCAAAAACCTTAATGTCAAATCTGAGATTCATTAAAAACTTCAGTGTCATTTTTGGCCCTTCTCCCAATACATTTCTAAGACTATGGAACTTACCCAATGCACTTATGCACAACACCATTATTAATTTATTCACCTCTTGGTCATTGTTTTTTTTGGAAAAAAGATCAGGCAGACTCTTCTACAATTAGACATCTATCACTTAAACTCATGTACTTGGGGCCTGTTTGGATGAATTGTTCAAAGGTGTTACTAATAGTTAGTGATGGACCCGGGCCGGGTCAAGGCCCGGTCGGGTCTCGGGTCTTGTAATGGTAGGCCCGGGACCGGCCCGGGCAATGGCCGGTTCGGGCCGGGCCACCCGCCGGGCCAGGCCGGGTAAGTATTTTTTTTTTATTAGTTATATATTATACAAATTCCTATTAAAAACAAAGTTCAAGTGCATTTATTTGAAATAAGAAGTACATTTGAGAATTGAGAAAAAAATAACAATACGAAATACATTTTCTAATGAATATCAATTGGGATTTCCGCCACCGTTGGTTATTGTTTTCCCTTTGTCACAGGACTTCATATGTTTTATTGGCATCCCGTATCCGTATGAACGCCCCAAGCAACACTCTTTCTTGCACCACCTACAAGTTGCCCACCACAGTGCGGTCTTCGGGTCCTTCCACTTGTCAAAATTGTTTTGCATAAGGGAAGATGTACTTTCCATATTTAAAAGAAGATGTAGATGTAGGAGAGTTGGAGAAGAATTGGAGAAGAGGTGTAGAAAAATGTTAGAAAATAGATGTATTTATAGATGTTTTTGAACCCCACTCCCCACACCACCACCCCCGGGACCCCCCTGCCCCCCACCCATAGCCCCAACGGCTATATAGCCGTTTGGGAGGTTTGATTCCAATTTTTTTTTAAGTTATACATATTTTAAAATAAATTAATTAATTTAATGAATTAAGTAAAACTAAAACTATTTGTACTTAGAAAAGTGGTTTGATTTATAATTTACAAATGTTACAAAATAGGTGTATAAGTATTTAAACAAATTACATATTGTAAATGTATTTTTAATTTAAAAACCGGCTTTATATTTTAGAAAAATAATTTTAAGTCGTTAGTTTGTAACCAATTAATTAATTTGAGAAGTGCTACATATGAAAAAGTGAACACATATTTATTTGAAATATGAAGTACAAGTTTACAAATTAATTTGAAGTACAACTACAAATTTACAATTTTGAAATATGAAGTACAAGTTTACAATTTTGAAATATGAAGTACAAGTATAAATAAATTTGACAAGTGCTATAAAATACATTTTATAATAAATTCTAAAATACTAATCAATCGGAATCTCCGGCATAGGTAGAGCCACCATCGGTTGTTGAGTCATCCATAAAATCTTGGGAGGGGGTGATGCTCATTTCTTGAGTTGGCTTCAACCAATCGTGGTAGCATATAAGCGTCTCAAGAGACTCCGCGCTCAATCTCGATCTAGATGCCGTTAGGACGTTGCCGGCCGAACTAAATTCTTGTTCCACAGCAACTGTTGAAATCGGCATTGATAGTACATGCTTAGCCATCCGTGCTAAAATCGGGAACGTTCTTTCTTTCGACTTCCACCAGTCTAGAACGTCAAAGTCATCATTTTCTTCAAAATCAACTTCATATGTTAAATACAAAGTAATCTCATTCAATGCACTTTGTTCAGTGACGTGAGTTGTTTTTGTTTTTTTCATAAGATTGCCAAATGCAGATTTAAAAATCGATTTTCCTTTAGATGAAGATGTTCGTGACGGGGGAGGGGGAGCGTTGCTATATTGTGCACGAAACTCATTAAATAAGGCATAAAATAAAGTACTAACCTCGTTTTATTCTGTTTTCGGATCTATGGGGTTATCGTCATACATTGGAAATTCACCAAAAAACGCAAGATAATAGAAGTTGAAACAATCTTCCAAATTAGCAAGTCTATAACGAGGATCGAGAATAAATGCAATACCATAAATATGGGGAATATGCGCATAATATTTTAAAAACTTTTCCTTCATAGAATCACAAAAATAATGAACGAAAACGGCATTTTGAAATTCTTTAAAAGCATCGGCGAGATTAACAGCTTGTGGAATAAATTGGTTTGCGGTAGGTTTATAAACATGACTAAAAGTTTCAGTAGCATTAAAAAAAATATCAAAACATTACAAATTTTTTCGCAAGTGTCGATCTCAGCCGCGTTTATAATATAGTGATAAGCCCAGGAGTGTTTGAATGAGAATAGACAAGGAAAGAAGCTAGAAGACAATGACAGAAGCAGATACTTTTTCGTATATTTTCGTTCCCCCCTACATGGGTGCAAGCACCTCCTTTAAATACTGGAAATACAAGGCATGTTTCTCTCCTACGTGCATAGTGGTTTCACCCCACAAATGCAATGATTAAAACTGTAAATAACTGACCATATAACAAAGGAAATAATAATATTAGAAAATAATAAGTCTCCAGCAGTCTCTATTCCGTATGGGCCAACCAAAGAGACAATTGGTTGATAAATGTATCTGGATCCAAATAACGTGGGTTGGCTCTTCGTGTACGGCCCGTGGTCCTATCAATACCCCCT